ACGTCCAATTTTTTTTTTTAATCTATATCATCAAGTTATCAAGTATTGTTTAGTTTGCCTTCTCTTTTATAAGGTTTTGTTAAGCTTGATAAATGGATAAATCAGAAAATTCGAGTAAAATTAACAAAACTATAACCCGGGGTTTCTAAGTTAATAATTTGACATATCCATTTTGGTTCATACTTCAAAATCTATTTGTTTTATTTTTGCTTATTTCGAAGTCAGACCAAATGATTTCGTTTAAAATTGAACTCATTTTACAAACATCTTAAAAAAAAGAAACGAAACCAGAAACCCGGTTACATCCGGTATACTTCATACCAACTCAAAATCATTACCTAATAAAAAAATGTTTTTTATTTATCAGACCGAAGCGGAGATAGGTGACGACGGGAAGCTCCACGTGGTGGTCCGGAGATCAAGCGCCGCCTCATCAATGATCTCATCCTTCAACAAATCTCACGGCGGAGGAGGACTTCACTCCTCCATGATCACGCCGCGAGCTTCAAATCTCACCGGCGTCGAGATTTACTCCGTTCAATCGTCACGAGAGCCGACGCCTAGAGCTTCGAGCTTTAATCAGACAGACTTCTACGCTATGTTTAACGCAAGCAAAGCTCCGAGCCCTCGTCACGGTTACACCAATAGCTACGGCGGCGCCGGAGCTGGTCCCGGTGTAGATGTTTACTCGCTTCAGTCGTCTAAAGGCGTGACGCCGAGAACGTCTAATTTTGATGAGGAAGTTTTGAAAACGAAGAAAGGAAGAGGAGGAAGAAGCATGAGTGGAGAATTATACAACAACAATAATAACGGTACGATTTTTTTTTTTTAATTTGCTTTATATATATTTTTAACAAAATCAAAAGTCATCGGTGATTTCAAATTTGATTGTTTTTCTTAGGTAAAACATTGTTATTGATGTTTTGTTTTCTTTTCCATCAAATGGTTAATTTATTTATCGGCTAAATAATGATTTTGAAGAGTTTACTATAGGTAGAACATATGGACATTTCCTATAAAGAAAAGAAAAAAACATATGGACATTTCTAAAAAAATATTTGAATTTTTACTTAACTTTTAGAAACCTAATGTTTATTGTATTTTTGAATGTGTGTTCATGATTGTAGTAATTTTAGATATAAAGTTTGTGTTTTGTATTATTGTAGGATATTTTTGTTTGCATTAGAATGTACATTGTTGTTACGAAGCTTCATTTTCTATACTACAACGAATAAATAATTTAGTAAAATATGTGGTCAGTTCCGTCGTATCCACCACCGAACCCGATGTTCACGGGGTCAACAAGC